GCTAGACGAGCCGCTGGACGAGCCGCTGGACGAGCCCTGGGCGCCGGTACCGCCGCTGCTCGACCCCGGCACGCTGTCCGACACGGACGGCGTGGCCCCCGAGGCCGTCGCCAACGACGCACCGGCCGTCATGTTCGTGCCAGTCGCCTCGAACGAGGCCAGAACCGTGCTCTTGTTGGTGATCTCCACTGAGCTGTTGAGGCCCAACGCATTCGTGTAGACGTAGGACGAGTTGCCCTGGATGTTGGCCCCCGCCGGAGGGTCGTAGCACTGAATCGTGATCTCGCCGAAGGTGGCATAGTCGTAGCCGTGCTGCTTGATGTCCTCGCTGTTCCAGTCGATCTCACCACCGGCCCAGGCGATCGTACCGGGGGCGTTGGTCGGCAGACCGGCCGGCCACAGGGACAGCTGCACACGCGCCGGCGTCTGGGGGTACTGGTACCGGTTCGCCGTGGCGTTCCAGGTCTTCTCCCGCTGCAGCGTGCGCACGGATTGCCCGTCGATCGACCAGGTGATCTGGTCGGGCTGCCAGTCGATCTCGTACGTGTGCCAGTTCTCGAAGGTGTCGGTGGTCGACGCGTTGACCTCGTTGTCATCTGCGGAGCCTGTTAGCAATCGCCCCAAGACGGCCAGGATTGAGAGAGGGACGTACAGTCCAGAACACCCTGCCAGTAGTAGTTGGTCTGACCGGTCGTCAACTCAGTACCCACAAACTCCCAGTCGATCTCGTCCTTGACGTCGGACAGCAGGATGAAGGCAGTGACGACACCGGCACCGCGGCTGGTCTTGAGCTTGGCCGAGACCTTGCCGTACCAGACATAGTGGTTGTTGGCCAACAGCGTGCCAACGGTGTGGGGGGCCATGGTCAGCAGCAGGTTGCCGTTGCTGATGAGCGGCGAGCCGCTGGACACCCAGTCGGCCTTGCTGGCATCACCGAGATACTTGGTGTTGGGCTGGACGGAGTCGAGGTTCTCCCACGTGTAAGTCTTGCTCTCGCAGACGGGGGCGGGCGCGCACGAGTCGATCGAGTGAGACGAGAGCGGATCGCAGCCGCCCAGGCAGTAGGCGCCCACTCCACATTCTCCGTACTCTACATTCCAGTCAGCCGTCAGCCATCCGCCCTGTCAACCATGTGGCCGGCCATGTGGGACACTCACGGGAGCAGCATGGCTTGTCAGCCGGGCACTTCTGCGTCGGACTGCAGGTGACGGTGTCGTCCGCCACGACATACGCGGACAGAGCGGCCAGGAGGGCCGCAGCGATGAAGCGGACCATGATGGTATATAGGGACGAGGATATGTGCAAGAGGCGAATCAATCAACTAGTACACAGAAGAAGCGAGATTATTATTAAATAACAGTACTGCAGGTCAGATCGAGGTAGATGCAAACGAGAGGGAGCAGTGAGGACAACGATCGAGACCGTCACTGCGAGCAGCCGCAACGAGTGCGAGATTAGGGATTAATTAAGCAATTAATTGACAGTGGAGAGCGAGCGAGAGGAGCGCCCCGGGGAGCGAAAGCAGCGGATGGAACTCGAAGAGGCCGAGGGGGCAGGTGCGAGGGAGCGGGCAGTCTTAAGGGAGGCGCGGTGGAGAAGCACCACGAATCCCCAGACGGGCTGTCGGCGGCTGATTGGCAGGCTGTCATGCTGTGCAGCTCGGCTAGTCGGAGGGGCCGGCTGCCGCTAGGTTCGCACCGTTCCCTCGCGCGCACCAGCAGGATCTGCGTATCTCTTGGAGTGCTAGGTAGGTATTATTCAATTCATCATGGCCCTGAGACAGTTGCGTTGACCACCAGCTGTCTCGATGAAACGTGGACCCTGTTGCAACAACAACAATCACAATGCCCTGCCCGGCCATGCGGGTGGATCTTGTCTGACAAGTCTGTCACTGGCCCCTTGCAGAGCGTCCAGAGGCTCGATCCATTCGCTGTGGGAGCAGAGACAAGACGCATGCGTATGCCGCTGCATCGCGAGCTGACATGATTGGCTTCTATTTTGGGCATTTCCCACGCCTGTGGAATCCCGTGACCGGCACCATGGTTCGCCTCAGCCGAGACGAGCATTCAGGCCTTTCTGTCTTCTCGAACTTTCGCGCCTCAATCGACGCCCTCAGTCACACGAGATTCTGATAACGGAGCAGCAGACATAAAGAGAAGAAAGAAAATATCGCCACCCCTTCTGCGCCCAAGGTTGCACAGAACCGGAACGCGAGTCCTTTGCATTGCCACAGTCGGCGTCTTTTCCCACTTTCTTATAGGCTCGACGGCACTCCCATATGACGTCTGACTTTGCCTAACAGTGACCGGTTGTTGTTCCAATAGGAAGCTTTCTGGGGTGTTTTCTTTTTTATCCAACTTGCTATGCACGTTATCATGTCTCGAATGATGCTAGACATCGGATCTGCGAGCACGTGATTGCAGAACCTCAACGAGAAAAGACCATTCGCTCTATGACGGAATGAATAATGCTTATTTTCTCTCCGTACAAAATGAAACAGTCAAGTTTCTGATGAATCTATGTTCAACGCTGATGGATACTGTGCCGAGGTAATTCCTTTCAACACCTTCGCAGTGTCAATTCCACCCCGTTCCTCATTTCTGACCTTTGCTTTCTCCAGATCTTCGCCCGTTATCCGACTCTTCCAGGTGGTGAAGAGAGGCTAGATTATCAATAGAGAGAAAATTATCGAGGGAAATATCACAACTCGGCGCCAAACAGCGCTCAAATCACACATTTCCGGCCAGTGCGGGCCAGCGTACTCCGTAGAGAGTACATAGGCATCAACTAGCTGGTTGATGCTGACGTGAGAACAAACGCAGTACCAATCTCACTGAGAACCAAATGCACGCTGGGATAGTTGATCCACGCAGACCAGAACAGGCCAACAGGAGTCACTGGTCATCGACGGATCAACTGCCCCTTAGTTGTCTGCTCTACGCTGTCGTCCACATTGGAGTAGGCATGATGATTCAGTTGATCATGACTCTGGAATGCAGGCGCGTCTTAAGGACGACAGTGAGTGCAGCAAATTCTACTCCGCAGTAGATCATCGTGGCGTAAAGTTCAGTAAACGCACAACGTAACAGGAACTCACCATGGCCATGCCGGCAATGCTTGATTATAATCCAATCCAATCAGAAGCAATCACCAAGTGGACCTTTACGTGTGCGTGGGGATCCTCGAGCCGAACTCTTGCCGAAGGAGGTAGCAATGCCCCGTATTTAAGGCGCTGCCAAGACGGCGAATATCGACAGCACGCAATCCAGTATGGGGGAGTACGGAGTATTCTCACAAGGTGTTCCTAAGACAGTAATCTTGTTCTTATCGAAAGCTACCCTAGGTACAGTACATAGGTCAGAATATCGTATTCCTACTCGGACATCGCCCGAATAGGATAATGAAGGATAACTATCTATTATTTGCAACCGCTGAACAATACCTCAACCTCTAGTCTTCGAAGACTTGCCACAGAGTTAAAAATTAAAACCGAAGAAAAAAAAAACACTGTGGACATTTGGGACAGACCGGGATTGAACCGGTGACCTCTGCATCTTCAGTGCAACGCGCTCCCTACTGCGCCACTATCCCCTTTTTGGATGGGGCCGCAGGTTGACGAATCATACGGCGCGTACGGAGTACTCCATAGGTAGAGGAAGAATAAATACGGAGTAATAATACTCCGATAACAAGCCTTTAACGACTCGTTCCGCTTGAAGGCTTGAAGGGGAAATTCTACATAGACTTACTTATGCCTATAAAATGCTCCGTACCTTTGGCCCTCTGCTTTCCTATAATGTAAGCCTATATAAAGTCTATACGGTGCCAACATAAAGCCTATACGGAGTACTGAAGGCAGGCCGAAGGCAGTTTTGTTGTGGTATGCTTACATAAGAAACACAGACGGGTGCTGAGTAAGCAGAACTGACCAATCAACGCATTTCTGTATTTTTTTTCGTTCAAAAAAAAAAAACATGACCTAATTTCCATTATATAAAACTCCGTCGAGAAGAAGATAGATAATAAAAATTAAACCGCAAAAAGCGTATGGGACAGACCGGGATCGAACCGGTGACCTCTGCATCTTCAGTGCAACGCGCTCCCTGCTGCGCCACTGTCCCATGTTAGGAAGCTGGGAGCAGCTTTGATGGTTTAACATTGATGGATGATAACAGCTCCTTTATTGTCAAGACCTCGCGATGAAGGCAAAACTTGTTGTATTCGAGATATCTAACCTATCAAAAAGGTGCAGAACCGACAGAGAGGGAAGGAGAAGAAAACAAAGAAGACAAAGAAACTCGATGTGCGACTTGACAAGTTGACTAGAAGCGAGGTCATGTGGAAAGCAACCACGTGACCAGTCAGGTCTGCGCCAGGGCCTGACATCGTACCTCCCCCCCTCAGAGGGTCGTCCCTGATCCCTCATGAATTGCCTTGCCGGGGACGAATTGCACGGCGGTACTGATTCATCTAACTCTTCGGGTGCTTCGGCGGTTAGATTTGGGCTTCATATCGTCGGGTCGAACGGGTAGGGCCGGGCAGTCGGGATGAGTTCGTATAAATTCATCAAGGCGTTCGGGGCAGTTGGTGAGGTGCCAGAAAGGCTCCCATGTATCCTCTTCTTCATCACATCCTTCCCATCGGACTCGGAATCGAATTTGGTCATTCTCATCGCGAACGGCGTCAGTAATAGCTCGTACCGTATATTCCTTCCTGCCATCGACATAAGTCGGCCTAGTTAGATCTTCAGGTTCCTCATTTTCCTCTTGTCCTGGAACAGGGGGGTGGTATGGCTCCAGTAATTCAATATGGAACACAGGGTGGACCTTAAACTGCGGAGGGAGATCTAATTCGTAAGCATTCTTATTAATAGCACGCTTAATGGTAAATGGGCCTTCCTTCTTTCGATCAAGTTTCTTGCAGGGCCGTTGACTCCGTATATTGGTTGTCCGGAGATAGACTTGATCCCCAACTTCAAAAACCATGTCGGCGCGTTTGCGGTCGTAGTATTTCTTGTTCGTTTCCTGGGCGCGTTGGAGGTTCTCCCGTAGGATCTCATGAAGCTCCTTCATAAAGTCTGCATAAATGGCAGCATCGATATCTGTAATTTTCCGGCCTGGATGTTCTGGTACAAATTCGACGTCGGGGTCGTAGCCATGTTCCGCAAAGAATGGTGAGACTCCTAGGGCAGAGTGTTTTGAGTTGCACCAAGCCATCTCGGCCATGTCGAGCCATTCGTCCCAGTCGTCTTGCAAATAATTGGTAAAAGCCCGAAGATATGCCTCAATAACTTCGTTCATACGCTCTGTCTGCCCATCGGACTGTGGATGGTAGGCAGTAGACGGATTAAATTCCATTCGAAGATCGTTGCCCAGTTGACTCCAGAACGAATTGAGCCAACGTTTATCGCGATCCATTATCCATGAACGAGGAATTCCCTTCTTTGAGATCACATTTTTGCGAGTCAGGATTGCGGCTTCCTTAGCTCCAGCCGTCTTCCGAGTTGAGGCGAGGATAATACCCTTACTAAAATGATCGACATGCACTTGGATACAATCATGGCCATATTTTGTCCTTGGTAGATCGGTAATCAAGTCAATGCCAATTCGGGACCAAGGTTTCTCAGGTGGTGGTAGTGGTTCGAGCCGTCCAAAGGTTAGATGAGTATTAGCCTTGTTCTGCTGGCACTGTGAGCATCCTAAACAGTATTCCTCAACATCCTTTTTCATTCGTGGCCAGTAGTATTTGCGTTGTATCAGTTCGAGTGTTCGTTTCTGACCCATATGACCTGCCAGTGGGGCATTGTGCAATCGTCGAAATACCTCCATCCGTACATCCTTTGGCACATAAAACCGATCATGATAGAACAGGAGCCCATTACGTGCCTCCCAGCCCTGTGGGGGATCCTTATATATCTCAGTGGCCGTCTCATCTGTAACCAATTTCTCCTTAATCCTTTCTTCCATATCAGGACTAAGAGCGAGGGCGGCAATTTCCACTTGATTTGGTTCTGGAGACTGTTCGAATCGCAAGGATGCAGAGGCAAATTTGAGGAATGCCTTAGGCTCTTCGGGGAATTCATCCTCAATGACATAGTCTGGTCGACGAGAAGGTCCGTCTGCAGGATTAAGGTGACCCTGGATATGTTCTATCACAAAATCAAACCGGCTTAGGCGTTCAGCCCATCGTACTTGCAACGGTTTCAAGTCCTTAGTAGTCATGAAATTTCGCAAATTAGCATGGTCCGATCTCACAATGACAGTATATCGAGCTCCTTCGACATATGGTCTAAATCGTTCCATTCCCCACACGATAGCAAGGAGTTCTTGATCTGGGGTAGAGTATTTGCGTTCACTGGTGCTAAACTTCTTGCTCCAGATCATCACTGGCCTCATTCTCTCATTATCATCTTTTTGGCAGAGGATTGCAGAGGCAGCGTCGTTACTAGCATCGGTATAGACGTAGATCTGTCTATCAGGGTCAAAGTGCATTAATATTCTTCCTGGCACAAATTCAGCCTTTAGTCGTTCGAAGGCAGCTTGTTCTTTTGGTCCCCAGTCAAACTGTCTTCCTTTTCGGGTAAGGTCCGTCAAAGGTTTGGCAATATGGGAGAATCGTGGCACAAATCGCCGATAGAATCCAGCAGTCCCAATAAAGGCCTGAACATCTCGTACTCGTTTAGGCACAGGCCATTTCTGGATCGTCTGAATTAGGTCTTCTTCCATAGAGATACCTTCTGGTGAGATCTGGAAGCCCAAGAAGTTAACAGTCTGAACATGGAATCTGCATTTCCGTAGCTTAACACATAACCCCCATTCTCGAAGGCGTTGGAGGCAGTGACGTGTCCGTTCCTGTACTTCTTCCAATGTAGATCCATAGATCAAGATATCATCGAGGTATGCGATTAGTTCCTCGTCGATTAATCCATGTAGGGCCTGGTCGATATATCGTTGGAAGGTTGCCGGGGCATTGCATAGTCCAAACGGCATCACCAACCACTCAAAGAGTCCATACCGGGTCTTAAAGGCAGTCTTCCACTCATCTCCCTTCCGGATCCGGATATGGTGGAAGCCATCCCGCAAGTCTAGCTTCACGAAATACTTTGCCTTTCGGACGCGGTCAAGTAGTACATCGATCAAGGGTAAGGGGTATCTATCTTTCTCCGTCATGCCATTCAATATCCTATAGTCGCAACACATCCGGGGATCAGGAGCGCCCTTTTTTGCGGCAAAAAGGGTAGGGGCACCCGCGGATGACTGGCTCCTTCGAATAAACCCCCTTCTCATTAATTCATCGGTCTTCTCCTTCGTGATCTGTAGCTCTAACTCTGACTGATGATACTGACGCAGACTTGGCGGGCTTAACCCAGGTTTCAGGTTAATTGCATGAGCAAATTCGGGTCGGTAAGGGAGTGGCTGATTCATCCGAGAGGGTTCAAATATATCACGGAATTCCTCATAGATCTCTGGCAATTCAACATCACCGTCGATAAGGCGTTGTGGGAATGGATGTTTACTCATTTGATCTTCTTCAAAGGCGGCAGCAACCTGAATCCGCCAATCTTCAAACCTCTTTGGAATCTTTGGTTCATATCTTCCCTTGTAGTGGAATGGCGTCCACATTCGGGTAACGGTAATTCCTGCAGCTCGAATAGCTGCATTAATGGCATCCTGTTGTTCTTCTTCATCTCGATCAGAATCCTTGGCAGGATCCTTAAGGTCATTATCATCAATCCTTCCAATAGGATCGTCGTTCTTCTCGATCCGTCCATTAGGATCGTCGTCTCCAGAGTCCTTGGTGGGACTCTTAATATCACGGGGTTCTTCCGGGGAAACTGACGTGTTATCAGTAATTCCTAGCTTCGTCCTTAGGTCGTCCAATAGACCATTCTTCCTCAACCAGTCGGCACCTAAGACTAAGTCGGTACTTAGTCCAAGGGGCATACAAATCGGTTCAGCTTCAAAAATTCCAAATCGTGGGATTCGGCCTCTGACTCGGTAGACAGGGACCTGAGAATTTCCTAGTTCAATCTTCCTTCCACTGATGTCTTGTACTTCGACTTCCTCATGTCGAATTGGTTTCATGTTAAATTCGTCTCGTAGCTTTGGTGACTGAAAGGTTCCATCAGAGCCAGTGTCGTATAGGATCCTAATCTTTCGTCCTCGTAACCATCCGATTCCTCGAAGCTGCATCCGCCCTCTATTCCTTGTAGTAGTTGGGATCGCGCCTACTGCCATAGCGGAGGTAGTCAGTAGGCTTACTCGTTTTCCGAAGGTAGTTCTACCGCGGCTACCGACTTGGTGGCGGGGTTAGCCTTTGTATCCTTCTTCGGCTTATTGCAGTCTCGAGAGATATGGCCTGGTTCGTTACAATTAAAGCAAAGTCCCTTCCTAAGGTGCTCGCTGCGGATATCCTCAGAACCGTCAGCAGGCTTAGTATCCTTGGGTTTGGAACTGGTCTTCCGATCTCCCTTCCTGGCAGCGGAGTGTTGCTTCTTGCTCTCCTTATACTCCCGCTCTAAGCGTAGCCCTTTCTGCTTAACCTTATCGTAATCCTCAATGTTGATATCAGACCGACGGATGGCCCCACGAAGTCCGGGTTGCAAGGATTTGAGGAAAAGGGTGGCTTTAGTACTTTCTGGCCAGTCAACCTGAGAGCAAAGGGTTTCGAATTCAGTAATGTGATCCAGCAAATCGTCCGAGCTATTATGCTGAAGAGAAAGGAGTTTCTCCTGCTGATTAGCAATACGATCGGGATCCTCAAAATGCTTGTTTATGGCGGCCTTAAACAACTTCCAGCTCTTAAGGACTCCCTCAGGATCATGACGATAGTATTGTTGCGCCCATTTGTCGGGTTTCTCATCAAATCCCTTCATCACGTATGCGACCTTGTATTCTTCGGTTGGAAAGCTTGTTTCGTAGAGGCGGAAGTCCAATTCTACTGCATTGAGAAACCGCTCTAGATTCTCGGACTTCCCATCGAACTTGGCTCCTTTGAATTCCTTTGGCTAATACCGGTAGTAACGGAACTAGGAGCGGCAGAGGTTCCTCGACTTGCTTCTTGGAGTTGTTTGAATTCGGCCTCACTCCTTCTGAGCTCAGCATGGAGAAGTCGATTAGTGCGTTCGGTCTCCAATATCTGTTCCTTGGCTTCGGCTAGTTCCGTATGGAATTGCTTTTCCAGGGAAATACACTCAGCCTCTTTTTCCAAATAAGCCGTGTGTTCGTTTCGGTTCTCCATGATAAGGCCCGCGACCAGCTTCCTCAGTTCGGTAGAGCCGGTGGTTAAAAGCTCCTTAATCATTCCATTATAATCCTTGACGGAGATATCGAGATCTTCAGTGTTCTCCACTTCTTCCATAAAGGCAGTCACCTCCTCATCTAATTCATCAAAGTGATCCTCAGCCGTCTGGATCAATGACGGACGGCTTAGGCGAGCCATAGTGTCGTATTGTCGATTTGGCTCGCCTCCTGATCGGCTGGTTTGTAAGAGATAGGGTAGACAGACGAATGAAGGTCGGTTCTATGTCAAGACCTCGCGATGAAGGCAAAACTTGTTGTATTCGAGATATCTAACCTATCAAAAAGGTGCAGAACCGACAGAGAGGGAAGGAGAAGAAAACAAAGAAGACAAAGAAACTCGATGTGCGACTTGACAAGTTGACTAGAAGCGAGGTCATGTGGAAAGCAACCACGTGACCAGTCAGGTCTGCGCCAGGGCCTGACATTTATTACTCTTTTCGCCATCTTAGTTTGACATTGTTACTACTGTAATGGCCCTGTTGTAAAGGGTATTACCTTCTTAATAGCCATTTTTAAATGTATCGGGCTTTTTTTCTTTTCTCATTGGTCTATGCTCGATATAGTCAGTGCACTGTCTGTTGCTGATAACAACGATTATATATAGCAGTATGTACTGTATATCGAAGGTGGTATGATCCTGCCCTCTTTATTTTTTTATCTCTATGGTGTCCTACTTCCCTTTTCTACAGTACTCTACACTGTTGGCCTACGTACTCCTACGACTGCTACAAAAGTCAATATGGATCATCGGCAGGACAGCGCGGAGGTCGTTGTCTTCGCCTCACAGAAGACCTTATCAGCGAGAAGCTACCAGATGGACAGTGTCAAAGAATCAGAATTACTATTAAGTACACGATCATAGTTACATACTTCTGGCAATCTGGTGACAATCTTGGCCAGAGAAAAGAAGAAGAAAAGAAATGAAAAGAAATAAAACACAATCTGACCTCCATGAACCCTCAATAACTCCTAACCGCCCATGACTTCCTTCATCTCCGTCTCAATTGAACAATCTGACCTCTCCCATCTCCCAACACCTGTACCGTCAATCATGTGCAAAGAAAAAGAAAGAAGAAAGTGAATGGAAAAAAGAAAACAGCAGATATCACCACCAGGTCACCCTGCTCAGTATTCAATTCCCCGTTCGACAATAATCCCTGCCAGGGTCACGTGTACAGGCCCTGCGCTCCTTCCTTCCGAACTCGTGCATCGCGTGCAACATACGGCAACGGCGAATTTAAACTCGAACTTAAGCTCGAGGGGCACGGTATCTGCCCGGTCTCATCTGGGTCGTGAGGACCAATTCCTTCTCGCACGGGTCCGTCGAATAGGACACTTCCAGGTTGTAATAGACCTGGCGGTGGGTCTTCCACGCGAGGAAAGTTGCGAGCACCCGGCGTGCAACAGTGGTACTACGGAAGACGGCAGTGGCTGGAGAAAGAGACGTGCAAGTGTCAGTACCTGAATCCAGATGACAAACTAGGGACATGCTTACCATTGCCACTGTTGAAAATCCAGGTGAACTCAAGGTTTCCTGGGCCAGCCAGAGTGGCCACTTCGCGCTCCCACTTCTCCGGGGTCAGTCCTTCGCCAAACAGCTTGGCTTTAGCAAAAGTCAGGCGGCGGCGTTCGCGAAGTGGATGGTTCATGCGGCCAAGGGAGACGTGCCATTCGAACGGTTCTCCCAGGGTCAACTTGTAGCCGCTGCCGAAGCACGACTTGCCCGTCGCCGCAATAGAATCCTGGTTGCGGTCCATAAAAAACTGTGCGTGAAGCAAGTGTTGGAAGATGATAGTTGCCTTCGTTGGCCCGTCCACACGGATTTCGTAAATGGGTCCTTCGTGGATATGCGCTGAGGCGAACCGGACAAAGTTGCCCGCTGTCTTGCCATGCACATGGACGATTCCAGCCTTGCCCTCTTCAGGGATGCCTTCGATGGGCATCGAAGGGGAGTGACCAATTCCGTTCAACGACGGCTGCTTCATGGCCGGAATGTTCCCATTGGAGGCCGCTCCTGGGAAGGCCGCCTTCTCAACAGTCTTGTTGGGAGGACTACGGGCAACGACGTTGGCCCAATTGGCTGCACCTTCCTGGCGACCATGCTGGGCCTTCTGCAAGCCCACTGCCTTTTGCTCACCTTGCTTTGCCTGTCCATGAGGAATTCCTGGACGTGACATGACCTGCTGAGAGTGATCATCCTTCTCGACCTGATTGGGTCCGTTGTGTCCGTTCTCGCCCTTTGGTTTTCTGTCAGCACAAATTCAAGACGGCTTTTTATGTTTTCACGGCTTCCCCTGTTCTCATGGACTTGACTTACCGCAATCTTTCCGGTCAGATATTTAACCTCGATCTCCATTCTCGCCGTGGAAAATACATTGACCATCTCAATACTGAGTTTTCCAATGTTATTTGCCGCGACATTCTGTCCGGCACGACGCAGCTGTGAATCTGTCAGACTAGTCACCATATAGACAACAGAATTGACGTCTCAGGATGGTGGGCACCTCACATATTCAGTGATATTGCTGAGATGAATCAGCGCTTCAGTCATTGCATGATCCATGACTGCACTTTCTTTATGCGAGATTGCCATTTTGACGTGTCTTCAACAGGATTTTCTTAGAGAACGAGGTGGGCAGGACGATGATGATGTCTCCCAGCACTTCAGGGGACTTGTGTGGGAGTGAAATGGGTATGATGATATGAGATCCCTTTTTTGAATATCAAAAGGGGAGTGAGGGTCAGTGAAGGATCCTTCACACAGTACTGTGTGTGGATTCACACAGCCTGCGATAGGTCCTTAACGGTGAGTTGATCGATGGAGAGTTTGGATGAGAGGTGCGATAAAAAGAGATGAGAAGGGGACGGTGTCGATAGATTTGTGGGTGGGAGACGTGAATTTTCATGGATGGGATGAAAGAAAGTGAAGAAGACTGAGGGAAAGTCAGGAGGCTGGGAAGTTGGCAGACCTTTGCCTGACTAACGCGACGCGTCTGGTCGCCACCTGGGTGATTTTCTTCTATCAGACGCGATTGCTTTGCGTTGGTGGATGGTCTGTCTCAAAGTGGAAATTCAGACGAACAGACACCCCTGGAAGGCCTCTCTCCCGGACGCGGATATAATTTAATCCTTCTTTGAAGGCACCTGATATGATGCCCCTTTCAGGCGCGTGGTGTGCTATAGAACGCCCTATATCTTAAATCATTGTTGATACAGTGGAAGAGAAGATTTACCTTAGGCACTCCCTGGTTTGAATATCTTTGCTCTCAGACATAAACCATCTTCTATGGACAAGCAGACATGAGACGAATACTGACTTCTGTATGCGTTCCCTTATTAGTGAGTCCTATTCGATAAAAAACCCAGAGATCCCCTCCTCTTGAGTTCCGCAAACATTGCTTGTCGTGTATCCTTTGTTCGCGAGGCTGCATCTCGATTCTCATGTCCTCTGCGAAGCAGATACTTTGTGCATTCTCCCACCGTGCCCCAGACAAGATACTTGTACGGCTTTGGCACCTCCTCGTCAACAGCCCCGTTCTGCTTCGCAATCTTGGACTCTTGAACCAGCTGACAGCTGATGTCATCGGCCATTCCTTGCAATTGGCCATAGGCCATTTCAATCAATGGCTGTCCAGTTCGAGCTTGTTGGTTGCGAAGAGCCCGGGCTTTCTGGACGGATTTCCGGTTGTGAGTTGCCAGGACCAGGTCTACTTGAGGGAATGTCGGGCGATTTGATGTGGAAGATTCAGCTGAATCGGATGGCAACGGTTTCAGGACTGATCCGTACTGCCTCGTGATCAATGATTCGGCGATACTGTCGTATGCTGCGTCGGTATCGTCCTTGGTCTCCCAGAAGAGATGCCTTGGGTCACTCCCGAGATAAGCACCTCGGACCAGTTTCACACCCAGCACAAAACCCTCCTTCTGCGCTGCAGCAAGATGGCTGGCCAACGTTTTCGGAGTGGACAGAAGATAGGCTTGGTAGGTGCCACATACCAAAGCCCGGGGCTCGCCTCTAAGCGTGAAGCTGCTGTTGTATCTGCGCTGGAAGTCAAGGACCCATGAATCGATGGTGCGCTGGACAGCCTGCTGCTCAGCGTCGAAGAGCAGTCTGACATTGCGTTCTCGAGCCCGGTCACAGATATCGACAATGGCTTGCTCGAGCTCCGGAGACGGGGGCAGACCACGGATCAAGTGGTTAAGAGCCTGTCTGCCCGCCCCTGTGAATTTCAAAGCCACAAAGTCGCCCTCGTCAGCCAGCTCGACGGTCTTCATCGTGCCGTCCTTCCAGGCCAGCACCTCGCGGGCATTTCTCTCCTTGGCTGCGGCGTCATCGAGAGTCTGCGTGCCAACAGCACTCGCTTCGTCTTCGTCCATGACGACCTCTTTGCCGTAACCCAAGATGACTCCGGAATATCCCATCCGCTTGAGCTCTCGGATGTGGTTTCTGACGGCCGGGGGGTTTTCACCGGCACAGAACTGGGCATAGAGCGTTTTCCTGAGGAAGAAGTTTAGGATCCCATTCCGATCTGGATCCAGGAGTGCTGACTTGGAATTGGCCAGGAACGAGAGTGCTGCCAGTGTCGGACCCAGAAAGAGTGGCACCGAGGAGATTGTCGTGACAGACAATGACCGGATGACTGCGCTAAGTGGTAGAATGGAGAGTGGCGACGTTGACTTCTCCGTGTATATCCTAGCTGGGGGAGATGGTGATGGCAACTGCCGTGACTTGACATCATGATGCGTGTGTCTGACAGGAAGTCGAATCTGTAGAAACTGGATCTGACCAGCAAACTTCTTGCGAGACAACCCTATACGGGAGGGCGAGCATTGCATGGCTCTGGAGCCTAGGCTGACAGCCCCAATCATCGCGCTGGTTCGTCTCCCTTGAGTTGCGAGGTATAGCTATATGGAATCTGGCTTCTAAATAATATCTAGAGCGATTTTAAAATATTTGATATCCCCCACTGGCCTGACGAGTCCACTCACCCAGAGTCAGCGACTGTTAGCAGCGCAGCGCAGTATAGATACTGCAGAAAGTCAAGCAGATAACTGATCTAGTGGTATACAAGTGCAACACAAATCTAATTTAAATATCTATACACTACTCAGATAGTAGACGCAGGCATAATAGCTGCAGTGTCTACTGGCTGGCCAGCCAGCCAGTCTGACTGACTGTCTGTCACCGGGCCGGTTGCAGCAATTTCCTGACGGACAGGAGGTCGGCACCCGTGCCGGTGTACTGCCTACAGGATATGTACTACTGTACTTAGATCGGCCCATAACCGACGAACATTGCATTGCATTGCATTACCCGCCTGTTATTGTCCAACGATAAGTATATCTAGATAAGTCATTAACGTTAACCTTACTAGCCTTAGCAGAATGCTTCAGTGTCGAAGATGTTCTGGTACTGTACATACGTCACTATGAACAAATATTCCTCAACATCATCAGACGAGGATATATATATTCTTCTGCAGGTTGACACAGATCCGGGAAGAGGGTACTGGATTTTATTACATGATCCTTCTCCATGACTGGATCGATGGATCCATGGATTGCTTAATACATCTGTTGTGGACTGTAGAGCTGTACGGTGTATGTTGTTACCCCGCCGGCAAAATTACCAGATCGGTCATAGACAGATCCATCCCCGTGACCCGGCCTCGACCCATCCGGTATGGGGTACTTACCTAATTAGGCAGGTATAGCTTTACGCAATGTACCACCAGTAGTAACCACTGGACTAGTATGGGAGGTTTTTGCTGCAGGTTCAGCAGCTACTGTTTCCTATACTACCTGATACGTGTATCTACCTACCTAATCTATAATCTACCTACCTAAGGTACAGTAAAGTTGTACTGTGCTCTGCAGCCTAAATCTTACCATACCTGTTGGCTACCTAACCGGCACGCTGCATATCCGGCCAACTAACTGATGACGATAAGGTCAGAAGTGGTACCATTGTGGAGCGGTCTTCAGAGAGAAGGGAAGAGAAGAAGCGCTTATGCTTAATGCTTATGCTTCTTATCTTATCTCTTCTCTGGACTTAGGTAGCTTGACTTACATAACCACGTAGGTAGATCACTGCTTCTATTTTAGGAAAACTAGGGCTTAGGGCCTGGGGCTAGGACTGCATGCCTGCTTTGTTTGCCTTGCCAGTCGTACTTACCTCGTTCACACCGCTCCTTCCAAATCTAAGCTTCTTTCTTTGTCTTTTCGTTCATGATCACTCTTCATCTAATAATTTGAGATTTTTCTTCTTCTTTGCTCATGCTTCCTTATTTTCGATCTGCATACCGTCCTTCCTTCCCAATCCATCTTATGCGTCGTGTCCAACGAAAATGAAGAGAACAGGACAATAACGAAGTTCTTCTGTCTCCATCTCCCTCTTCCCTTCTAACGGCCTTTGCTATTCAGCAAAAAAAAGATTCCCATAATCTTCGTTTCCCCGCTTGACTTACCTACCTATCGAGGCCTGTCACCCAGCGCGTCTGTCGTGTAGATGGAATGTCTCTCACAATGTCCCGCAATAAACCCGCCAGCTCATTCACCTGTCAGCCTGTCAGTCAGCTGGTTCCTGGATAATAGCCGCAGCAGAAATTCTAGTTCGTGATCACAGACATAGGGCTCACTGATCAAGGAAAAATGCGTCCCCGACATCGTTGCGATGCTAATTCTCGTGCCTGGCAGCAGCTGTTCCCATCCCTGCGGCCCAAAATCGGTCTTCCCCTGCAGAAGAAAACGCGACACCTTGACGCGCAGATCCAGCCCTGTGGCATTCGCTTTTGCATCCGGCAGGACACCGTCCCTACTCCAGATGATATATGTGTCTGGCGGTACGTCGAGGGGACTCATCGCTGTCGGATGGTAGTCTTCGACGGCGCGGAGGGTCGCTTGGAAATGGTCGAGCAGCCATTGCGGCAAGTTGTTGCCCATCATGCCCATCAGGTTGTGCGATGCCACGTACTGGATGACCTCCATGGGCAGTGCCTCGAAGACGACCCGGCACGGCGAATCTATGAGGATAAGCTTGTGGACGCGCTCTCCCTCGGCAAGAAGCTGCTTGGTGACCTCGTAGGCATAGTAGCCCCCGGCCGACCAGCCCCCCAGAAGATAGGGACCATGAGCCTGGCGACGACGGATCTCGGCAACCCAGAGGCGCGAGAGTTCCTCGAGAGAGCAGCGGTATCTGGACCCATCCCCGCCTAGATAGGGACTGTTCATGGCCACCAGGCAGGTAGACGGCGCGATGACAGGAATACCGCTATACGCCATGCCGGAACCACTACCGTCTGGCAGGAGGAAGATGGTGCGAGCACTCGTCGCCAGGTTGCCCTGGAGGACGACTGATAGCGGCACCTGGGACTGCTTGTCCAGTGATGTCTGATAATACTCGCGAAAGGCCGCTACGGTGGGAAACTGCTCGAAGACGGCGGTCGACATATTGACGCCCAGCCGGTCCTTCAGGCGGGCGACGATGAGTCCCGCAAGGATGGGATTGATCCCTAGGGCGACAAACTCATCGTGGTTGTCGATGTCGTCGACGCTCACGCCGGTCTCGTCGGCGATCACTTGGAGGGTTTCGGTCCAAGTCATGAGGCGATCGATGTTGCAATGCACGCAGACTTCGCGGACGACGATCAAGGTCTCGTATAGACTAACTTCGGCGTATGTATTGTGAGCAATGGGTGCCTATCTACATGTCAGGACTTTTACTCCAACCAGATCGACTAAGAAAATTGAATACGTCTGATTCGACTGTCTACATGCGTACCTTGTGGCCTTCGAAAGACATAAGATGACCCCAAATGATGAAAATGTCGAGATACCTGGTCCGAAATTTGAGAAGAATTCGTCTCCTCACCGAGTCATTTAGCTGCAAACACGGCGTGCGGAGTTGGTCGGGCAGCTTTCCTATCCTGATTTCGTGTGCGACCATCCGGTCGGTTTTCTGAATTCGATAGATAATACAAATTCTGGCATATGTGGTACAGCATCCCGCACATTGTAACGTGGTGGGAAATCAAATGCGGCTGTCCTCCAGAGATGGTAGTGCCATCCTTCCACACCGTTTCGTGATCTCCTTTCTGAGTCATGCTTACAGCGCTAGATTCGGGGTTTCTGATCCTGTGGGATCGGTGACGTTTCATTTCTTTGTTCTCATCTTGTGGCACGGCAGACCGTGGAGAGTCTGAACAATGGCTTTAGAAGGGATGGATTGAGGGATAAGCTTCTGCTTCCGTCATACGAAGCAGGTTGGTGGGACAAGTTGGCAAGAGAGGCTCATGGAAACAGCGAGAGACAATCTCTATTTCTGCTGGCCTGGACCTCTGTTATATCGTCTTCCTCATCGTTGTCTCCGCAATCACTCACCATCATCATCATCATCTCCGCAGCATGACGCCGGCACCAACCACTGGGAGAGACGGCATTGCCGTGATTGGCATGTCCTGTCGATTCCCCAGTGACGCAGACACGCCAGAGCACTTCTGGCGCTTCATCAGCCAGGGACGAAGTAAGTCCATCCGTCCGAGCCAGCCTACATCTAGGGCTTAGGGCTTGCGGCCAAGACTACCTGTCTCACTTCCTTTTCTAACCCTAATCTCCCCATTCATGCCATGAGCTTGCCTAGTTGACAGCACGCCACCAGATGCCTACTCGGAGAACTCCCAGCGCTGGAACCCGGACGCGTTCCATTATCCCTATCCTCAGAAGAAAATCAACACCAGTTTACCGCGTGGAGGCCACTTCTTAAAAGCCGACGTGGCTGCCTTTGACGCCAACTTCTTCAACATCTCCCAGGTCGAGGCCGAGTCTATCGACCCGCAGCAGCGCCTGATCATGGAGGTAACCTACGAGGCCTTGGAGAACGGTGGCATCCCTATTCACCAGCTTGCCGGTTCACGCACCGGCGTCTTCATGGCCAGCTTCACGAGCGACTACCGAGAGATGCTCTGTCGCGACCCCGAGACAGCGCCCCGGTATACAGCGACGGGCACCAGCAGCACGGCCACCTCGAACCGCGTCTCCTGGTTCTACGACCTGCGGGGGCCCAGCTTTACCGTCAACACCGCCTGCTCTTCCGGCCTGGTCGCCACACATCTCGCCTGCCAGAGCCTGTGGACGGGCGAGTCCGAGACGGCCATCGTGGGCGGAACCAGTCTGCTCCTCAACCCAGACATGTTCCTGTTCTTCTCCAACCAGCAGTTCCTGGCGGGCGACGGCCAGTCCAAGAGTTTTGCTGAGAACGGGGATGGCTACGGCCGCGGTGATGGCATCGGCGTCGTCATCCTGAAACGCGTCGAGGATGCCCTCCGCGATGGCGATCCCATCCGCGCTGTCATCCGTGGCACTGCGGTTAACCAGGACGGCCATACCAAGGGCTTCACCCTGCCCAGTGCCGACGCCCAGGTGCAATTGATCGAGGACGCCTACCGGGGTGCCGGTCTGTCGCTGGCCGAGACCCGTTATGTGGAAGCCCATGGGACAGGCACGCGCGCAGGCGACTCTCAGGAGGCAGAAGCCCTGTCGCGGACATTCTGCCAATACAGGTCGGCCTCTGATCCGCTCCTCGTGGGGTCTGTCAAGGCCAATATCGGCCACTTGGAAGCGTGCGCGGGCCTGGCCTCGCTCATCAAATGTGTCTTCGTCCTCGAGACGGGTTGGATCCCGCCCACGCCAAGTTCCAAGACCAGGAATCCAGCAATCCCGTCGGAGGTGCATGTCCCAACAACCTTGATGCCATGGCCGACCAAAGGCCTGCGGCGAGTGAGCACCCAAGGCTTTGGCTATGGCGGTACCAACGCCCATATCATCATCGACGATGCCTATCACTACCTACACGCCCGCGGCCGGATGGGCCATCACTATAGCCACGTTTCTCCTCGTACTCTCACAGCCAAGTCGAACGGCGGATCGTCTATCAACGGCGGGTCACAGCAGTGGCTGTTCCGGCTGCAGGCCCAGGACAAGGAGGGCTTGAAGCGGGTCCGCGCAGCACTGTCGCAGCATCTCGCGGGCATACAACTTGACCAGGAAGAGAATCGTTATCTCCAGGATCTGGCGTACACGTTGAACAGCCGACGCTCCCGACTGCAGTGGCAGACCTTTGCCGTGGCCGGCAGTCTTGTTGAGCTCTCACAGACGCTCGATGCCGAGCCATGGGCCAACCCGGAGCAGCGCCAGACGACGGCCCAAACACCACGTCTCGGGTTCGTCTTCACCGGCCAAGGCGCCCAGTGGGCCCGCATGGGCGTTGAGCTGATGACATACGAGGTGTTCCGGCATAGTGTTGAGCAGTCAGACCGCTACCTTCGCCAGGAACTCGGCTGCCCATGGTCAGCTGTGGAAGAACTGGCCAAACCAGAGCCCATGTCACACCTCCACCTTGCCTCTCACAGCCAGGCGCTGTGTTCCGTTCTGCAGATCGCTCTCGTCGACTTGCTCAGCGACTGGCAGATCGCCCCGTCCGCTGTGACGGGCCATTCCAGCGGCGAGATTGCCGCCGCCTATTCGCCTGGGCGCCTTGACCAAGACCGATGCCCTCAAAGTGGCCTACTACCGTGGCTTGCTGGCGTCCGAGATGAAGCAGATGGATGAGACAGTCCAGGGCGCCATGATGGCCATTGGGGCAACGCCCGACCAGGTGACGAAATGGATCGACAAACTCACCCGGGGCGAGGTAGTGATTGCTTGCATCAATTCCCCGACCAGCGTGACGGCATCCGGCGACGCTGCTGCCATTGATGAGCTTGCCGCTATCGTGAAAGAAGCCGGTGTCTGGGGTCGCCAGCTGAAGGTCGATACCGCATATCACTCGCCGCACATGCAGATGATCGCCGCCCCGTATTTTGAACTCCTCGCTGACACCGAGCCCCGATCTGCGCACCAGGGCCGGTCCATGCACTCCAGTGTGTTTGGCGGGCAGATCGATCCTGCTGAGCTCGGGGCCGTCCACTGGGTGCGGAACCTCGTCTCGCCCGTGCTGTTTGCTGACGCCGTCTCCGATATGCTGAAGCATGTCGATCTGCTGGTCGAGGTTGGTCCGCACTCCGCCCTTCAGGGACCCGTCCGCCAGACAATGCAGGCACACGGCGTCTCCGGTGTCGACTATGTCAGCGTGCTATCGCGCGGCCAGAGCGCAACCCGCACCGCGCTGGTATGTGCCGGTTATCTCCTCCTGGCAGGCGTCCCAGTGGACCTCCGGCTGGTGAATCGCGAGAACAGTCCGCCCCGGCCGGTCGTTGATCTGCCTGCATATCCGTGGAACCACTCCGCCCGTTTCTGGGCGGAGTCCCGCCTCGCGAAGGAATATCGTCTGCGCCAGCATCCCCGGCTCCCCTTGCTTGGAGCTCCCTGCCCGTCGATGGGGGAGAGGGAGCGGCACTGGCGCGGCATGGTGCGCCTGTCAGAGGAGCCCTGGATCCGAGACCATGTCATCCAGGACTCGATCCTGTACCCCGGCGCCGGATTCCTGACCATGGCCATCGAAGCCGCCGCCCAAGAATCCGCCCCGGGCCGGACGATCAGCACGTTTCGCCTGCGGGATGTGCGGCTCGATACGGCCCTGCTGGTGACCGACGACGAGGTGGAAGTCATCCTGCAGCTGCGGCCGCACTTGATCGCCACGCGGGGCCCCGCCGCTGCCTGGATGGAGTTCACAGTGAGTTCGTCGGCGGACAAAGGCCCGCTGCGCCAGAACTGCTCCGGTCTGATAATGGTCGAATACGACGACACCCCGACGATGAGCCGCGAACGGGCGCTGGAGTCGGCCGCCATCCGGTCTCGTTTCCAGCAGAGCGACCAACGGTGCCGCACCTCCGCGGACGTAGCCCAGTTCTACTCGCGCCTCAGGGCCATGGGCCTGACGTACGGGCCCAGCTTCGCCAACCTGGTCGAGGTCCGTTCGCGGGCGATGGGAGAGTGTGTGGGCACGATTCGCATCCCGCAGGTGGAAAGCATGGTACCGACGGCATATCGCGATCATCCGCATACCATTCATCCAGCAACTTTGGATAGCATTTTCCATCTTGCTTTGGCGGCAGCCATCGAGGGACGATCGACCCCCCTGCCAGCAGCCATGGTGCCTATCGCAATCGCCGAGGTGGTCGTGTCCGCCGACGTGCCGAATCGCCCCGGGACCCTGTTAAAGGGCGTCGCGCAGTCGTCTCCGCATGGTTTCCGGGAGATGATCTCGGACATTGATGTTGTGGATGAGAAAGCAACCTCTGCAGTCGTCCAGATCAAGGGCTTCCGCTGTTCCGAGATCTCAGGAGCTCAGAAGATCTCTGACCATGCGGGAGAAGTAGGCCGGCCGATCTGTTTCCGTCTCGTGTGGAAGCCCGCCATCGACCTATTGTCCCGGGAAGAGCTGCAGGCAGTTATTCGCGATGCTGCCACCTCTGCCGGGCATGGATCGTCTTCCCTGGATGAATCACGGGCTGTTGTTCACTTCGTCCAGGATGCAATGCAGCAGGTCTCCGAAGATCAAGTTGCTGCTCCCCAGGCCAGCTTTTACCGCTGGTTAAAGGAGCAGTCAGCCATGTTGACAAACAGTACAGACCCGGTCACGGAGGAGGAGAAGATGGCAGACGGGTTCTCTGAGATTATTGGCAAAGACCTCGCGGGCATTCTCCAGGGGACGATCACGGCTACGCAGCTGCTGGAGAAGGTGGATCAAATCTACCGGTTACTTGTGAGCACAGCAGGATTTTCCGAGATCACTCGGATATTGGATGAGGTTGGTTTCCCTTGAATGTATGTTGATCTTGTTGCTAAGCGATCCTAGTACCTGACATTGCGACACCACACCGAGCCTGGCCTGTCCATTCTCGAAGTTGGTCTGACAACGGCAACACCGCTGTCGCTAGTCGCGAGGCTCCCCAGCTGCGGCCAGATTCTCCAGACGGCCTCCTACACGTTTTCCGTCCCGTCTGAGAAGGCTGTACCTAGTGTCGAGCAGCAGTTTGGCTCCCTGCGGGAGGCAGTGGCCATCCAGGTAGAGGATCTCGAACTTCGCTCGCAGGCCCTGGATGCCACATACGATATCATCATTCTCTTTGATCCGGGGTACGCGTCGATCTCGCCTAAGGATGTTCTCCACACAATGAGAAATCTGTTGAAGGACGGCGGGAAGATCGTTCTGGTCGAGATAAGCAGGCCTCAGCTGCGTCTAGGCACAATCTTGGGCAGCTTGCAGTGGACAAGGTAGTATTTTCTTACCCATGTGAATCTGATCTCACTGGCTAACCATGTGTAGGACGTTGGAGACTGACCAGAGCGCTTGGGAGACTTGCTTCCCTCAAGCTGGACTGACGCCAGAACTCACATTTACTGAGACACAGTCCCGTCTGGTGGTTAGTAGCGTGTCCCAGAAGGAGGAGAAGGGGGCAAAGGACGACGAGGAGATCACACTGGTGGAAGCACCGAACCCGTCTCCCGCAGCACAACGCCTAGCTACAGAGTTGGTCCAGCAGCTGGCCCTGCGGTCCATCCGCACCCGTCGCTTCACCTGGAGCTTGGATGATGTGACGGCGTTGAAGGCCCAATCTTGCCTCGTCCTGACTGATCTGGAGGCAGCCCTCTTCAAGAACCCCAGCCGCGAGGATTTTGCGTCGGCCCAATCGATGATCCTTCAGGCAGACCGTCTGCTTTGGGTCAGCGGTCCCTGCCTGGGCCCGGATTCCGCCCTGGTGACGGGCCTGGCGCGCTGTCTGCGTAACGAGGTCCCTGGGATCCGGTTCCGTACGCTGCAAGTGTTGGGCACGCCGCTCACGGAGGCACAGGCCTTTGCCAATCTGGTGCTCCGCGTCTGGCAGTCCGCTGGCCCGGACGACGAATTCCTGGCTGACTCGGGCCTCCTTCAGGTCAGCCGTCTCGTAGAGGATGAGTCCCGCAACGACGAACTGGCTGTGTCGCTCGGTCAAAAAGAGAGGGCTGTGGTTCCCACCCCGCTGGAAGAATCACCCCAGGCGCTGCAACTGAGTGTCCGCCAACCGGGCATCCTGGACTCGCTCTGCTTTGAACCGGATGACCTGCTCGAGACGCCACTCGCGGACGAGGAGATTGAAGTGGAGTTAAAGGCAACTGGGGTAAAGTAGGTTTCATCCTAGCCCTAACAATCCCTTTCTTTCGTTCTCGCTGACCCTCCTACGCAGCTTCCGGGATGTGATGGTGGCCATGGGACAGATCCCAGACAGCACCTTCGGTTTGGAGGGTGCTGGTCTGGTTCGTCGCGTTGGTTCCATGGCCTCCGCCCAGTACCGGCCTGGCGACCGAGTCATGTTTGCTGCCCAGGGGGCTCATCGCACTATCTTCCGGGTCCCCGTCTACTGCGCTGTGCCCATGCCCGAGACGATGTCATTCGAGCAGGCGGCCTCCCTGCCGCTGGTGTGCATGACCGCCTGGTACGGGCTGGTGAAAACCGCTCGCGCTACGGCTGGCCAGTCGGTCTTGATCCATGCCGCCGCCGGCGGGGTAGGCCAAGCGAGCATCATGCTGGCCCAGCATCTAGGCCTCGAGATCTTTGTCACAGTTGGCTCAGAGGACAAGCGGCAGCTGGTGCGCGAGGTCTATAACATCCCCGACGATCACATCTTCCATTCCCGGGACCTCAGCTTCGTTAAGGGCGTCCAGCGCATGACGGGTGGCAGGGGCGTGGATATCATCCTCAACTCCCTGTCCGGCGAGATTCTCCGGCAGACGTGGTACTGCATTGCCCCCTTTGGGACCTTCGTCGAGGTCGGGATGAAGGACATCCTGGACAACTCGCGTTTGGATATGCGGCCCTTCCTGCAGGATGCCACCTTTGCTTTCTTCAACCTGGTCCATATCCAGAAGCAGCGCCCGGATCTGCTGAAGGAGGCCCTGTCCGAGACGCTGGCCCTCGTCCATGCGGGTGTGATGAAGCCCATGGTACCGCTTTCCGTGTTCCCGGCCTCGCAGGTCCAAGACGCCTTGCGCCGCATGCAAACAGGCCAGCACCGCGGTAAATTGGTATTGTCCTACCGCACGGGCGATATGCTTCCTGTATTAGGTGCTCCAAGGGGAGTCCGCTTGGCCAGCGACGGAACCTACCTTCTCGTAGGGGGACTGGGAGGTCTGGGCCGCAGCCTGGCGCGCTTATTTGTTCGCCTTGGGGCTCATAATCTCTGCTTCTTGTCCCGATCTGGGGCCACGGGAGCGGAAGCGCAGGCGCTGCTACGGGAACTCGAGGAGCAGCAGCCCGGCGTGCGCACCCTCGTCTGTGTGGGGGACGTTTCCGATGCGGATTCGGTGGCCGCTGCCATGCAGAAATGCACCGACGCCTTGGGTCCAGTCCGCGGCGTTGTACAGTGTGCGATGGTCCTGCGCGACGCGCTATTTGCAAAGATGAGTCATGACCAGTGGATTGAGTCCACCCGCCCCAAGGTGCACGGCACTTGGAACCTGCACCAACATCTTCCCGATGTCGACTTCTTCCTCGTACTTAGCTCGTTTGCAGGCGTTTTTGGCAACCGCGGCCAGAGCAACTATGCCGCTGCTGGCGCTTACCAGGATGCCCTGGCTCACTACCGCCGCGGCACCTGCGGCCAGAAGGCCATCACGTTGGACCTTGGTATTATGCGTGACGTGGGCATACTTGCCGAGAAGGGCATAACCGACTCTCTGCGCGAGTGGGAGCAGGCGTTCGGCATCCGCGAGGCCGAATTCCATGCCTTGGTGGAATCCGTAATCGCGGACCAGCAGGAGCAGCAGTCCGCGGCGGGGGCGGAGCTGTCTCCGCCGCCGGCGGTGCAGATCCCCACGGGCTTGGCGACGGCCCGCTCCGCCATGGACGCCGGCATAAACAACCCCTTCTACTTCGACGACGCCCGCTTTTCGATTCTAGCCCGGACTGGCACGAGCCAGCAGCACCACCACCAGCACGGAGCCAACGGTCAGTCGTCGTTGTCTGTCCAAACCCAGCTGGCGCAGGCCCAGTCTCTGGACGAGGCAGCCCAGGTCGTGCAGAGCACGCTGCTCGCGCGCGTGGCCAAATCGCTGCAGAGCAACGTGTCCGACATCGACCCGGGACGTCCGCTGCACTCGTTTGGGGTCGACTCGCTCGTGGCAGTTGAGGTGGCCAACTGGGTGTTCAAGGAGCTCCATGCGACGCTGACGGTGTTTGAGGTCCTCGCCAGCGTGCCCATCACCGCGCTCGCAGAGCAGATCGCATCAAGGTCGAGTTTAGTGCCGAAATTTCAGAAGTAAATAAACAAGAAAAGATCTTCAAAAGAAGACGAAAAAGGTTGGATTGATTGTCTTATCCCAGCCTTGGAATAATTGATTTGATTGATTTCGTTTCACCTCATTCGGACAAAGTAAAGTTTTTTTCCCCAAGGACTCTGATTAATTAATTTCTTGCAAATAATGAAATATGTAAAACTTACGTAAATAAATAATTAAGAAACATATGTCAACAAGAAAATATTTATGCAAACATAACCAGGTAGTATAATGCATATAAAGAGTACGAAACGCCAAAAAATGTCTTAGTGCAAAGGATGAATTTTAAGTGACAAACTTTATAAAATTCCTATTCGACAAGGACAAAAAACGATTATCAGAAAAAAAAATAATCGAAATCATGAAGGATTAGACTCATTATCAGCAAAGAACCTAAGGGAACGGCTTCTGTCTCCTTCGTTTTTCTCTGATAGCCGTTTGCTTTATAGGTGAGATCACATCCATCCGAAACGACTTCGTGCTGATAAAATAAAACTATGGGGAAAAAAAAGCTAGAAATTGCTATTGACAGTCGTGATCACTCAGTCGAAGCGTTCTATTCTGCTATGGAGTTCAAATTCAACTGGTGTAGAACAACCCCACGCTCTCTTTTACAATCTTACCAAGGATTTTAATCTGGAGGCAAGCCACTAATTAGCTTGCCAATCCCATTCCAGCTCAGCATTTAGAATGACATACCTGCGGATACTTCAACAGCGCAAAATGATCCGTCTCCAACTCGCGTCGTTCGACCGCTCCAACCAAAGACTCCCAGCCCATCGTTGGGGATCGGTTTCGGTTGGCATCGATCCACTCGGTGATCGGATTTTTCACCAGACCCCGGCCCTTGCCCAGGCCATGTTGGGCGACAAAGACCGTTGATCGCGCCGGCCGCTTACCAGGAGGCAAAGGCTGCGGCACGTAACGGAGCAGCATCTGGAGCGCGGCGGCGAGATGCTGTTTCTGAAGGGATCGGACCTCTCTAATATTCTTGCCGGCACCGACGCTGGCGGGTCCCATCAACCCAGCCTCTTCAATCTGCTCTGGGGTCAGAATAGTCCCAGAAAGCGCGGCGGACACAGGAGCCGGTGCCGGCATATCAATCAAGAGAAGTCCAAGCACCGTCTCGCCAGCCTGGAGCAGCTGCCGGCTGACCTCCCAGGCGTAGACGGCACCGGCGGCATATCCCCCGAGCAGATAGGGACCAGCCGGCTGGATCTTGCGGATGGCTGCCACGAATGCCGTGGCAAGATCCTCCACCAGGCAATCGCCCATCGATCCCGGGTCCCGAACATACGGCGACTCGACCCCATACACTCGTCGCCCACTGGAAAGCGGTGGGAACGGGACATACATGCCGACTCCGCCCGTCCCGTCAGCCATGAGGAACAAGGCCGGGTCGGTGGACGAGACCAACCCAGATAACAGGACGGTTGTTGCGGCTTTGGTTTTAGCTTGGCGGGTCGGGACCGCAGACGGAGCGGGATCTCTCAGAGGCAGCGGAGCGGGATCTATCGCGGGCGGCGGGGCGGAAGACCTACGTTGTTCCGCAACCGACGGGACCTGTGCCAATTTTACGGAATCCCCCACAACCAAGAGATTCGGATCCTCCACAACCCTCGTTTCAGAGACAGGGCGTGAAACGGAAGAAAGAGCTTTGGTGGCCGCTGAAACAGTTGGGTGACGGAGGAAGAACGAGCCTGGCAGCTCAACACCGATCTCTTTGTGCACGGCGGAAATGATCGTGAGAGCCGTCAGGGAGTTCAACCCCAGGTCAGCGAATCTGGTGTCGGGCTCCATATCGCTCACGTTGCAACCCACCTCGCGAGCCACGATGGAGAGGACGAGGGTGGTGACATCGGGCTTGCCACTACCTTTGACCGCAGACGTCCCGTTGGAGGAGTTCGGAGTCACCAACCC